GGATGGGAGGGATGTGGGTGGGGGGAATATTATCCATGGTGGTGGAAAATGGGCACTGGTGGGGGGATGGGTATTTGATCATTGTATAATCGAAACCCAAGCACAAAAAATTGTAAATCTACAACTGTACCTCATGGTGTTTCACTAATAAAAAAAATAGGAAAAAAAAATAAAGAATCGACTCTGAAAAATCAACCATTCAGACTTTGAAGCGTGATACAAAAAATGTGCCATTAGGTAAGACCTATCCCTTGGACCAGCCCTAGTTTAGCCACCTCAGCTAAACTTTTACCACACTTTCGCTGAAAGTAAAACACTTGTTTGGAGATACAAGTTTTTTTTTTAGGTTCCTGCTCTTATTCATTGATATTTGTGAAAGCATTTTAGTATCTTTTGGACAGTTCATCACCTATGAAGTGGGGGTTAGAACTAGAGTTCTCCAAAGGTAAAAAGGGAACAATCTCCAAATCATTATTCTTGTTTCCCACATATTAATGACTTCTGAAAATTCTCTCTCAAGGCAAGATTCTGTCTCACTTTGATCTAGTTTGTTTGAGGCTAACATTGAATGATATGCCCAGATAACTACACCTGCACCCAAAAGTATGAAGAGAAACGTTTGCCTTAGTTACAGAATCTCTTCCTCTATATTTGAAAAATTTATTCAATATAAATGAAAGGTCAGAGTTGTGTTTTAAGTAAGTTTTAAACCTAGATGCCATCTAGACTTTTCATTCTGCAAAATTCCTCTTTAAGTGAATAAATGTGTAAGGTAACTCTCCCTTACCTTGATCAACATTTAATACCAACCTGACACTTAGAATTAAATTAGAGAAACAAAATTGGATACTTTGAGACTTGAGGGCTGATTATACTACTAGAGGTAAGAGTGAATTTGAACTCTTTCCTTATCCCATTTAAATCTAAGGAGAGATAAACTCCCCATTACTAAGGAATAGAGGTGTGTCTGCAGAGGTGGAAGTTCCCCTTGATGTTCTGGGACAAGGAAACCTAATCCTTTCTTTTGACACACATGGTTGCAATAGAAAGCTTTCCCCAACTGCCAGTCTGGTTTTAATCTATTGTCTCAAGCAAGACAGGATTTGTAAGGAATGTCAAGGAAAAGGTGAAATTACAGGAACTTACTATAAAGTAAAAGTGTTGATGAGAAATCAAATTTTAAACAAGTGTTCAACATTTCATGAGCATATGTTGACATATAGTGCATGTTTTAAGTATACAATTAAGAGAAATATTAATCATAACTATAGCTAAAGTCTGCTTCAATCCATTTTATCTCATTTACTAGAGCTCTTTAGCAATGATCAAATACTGCCAATAAACACAACAGTGCTTCATTTAAACAAAACTTGGACATTTATATAAGCAACCTTCCTGTGTAAGCAAACATCATGAATTATACCCATTTTAATAAAACGTTAAACACTTTTGTATGAAAATACTTTAAAAGTATTATATAATTGTTCTTTAAAATATACTGTCTTTTCCTGATAGTTCAGGATTAATATTAAAAATATTTATTATAACTTGTTGAGTGTACTACACCAAGATGAGGATTTTGTAAAAACCCCTAACATCCAAAGGTTTCAGAATTCAATTAAAAAGACAAAAGGAGGCATGATGGTCCTAGTGTCATTTCTGCTATCAGTGGTTCTTTCTGGCTGCCAAATCATATCAACCTCTGTCAGTTAATATGCTTCTTAAAATAAAAGATGCAAAACATTTTCTACTCTGTGTAAGGAACTCTTCTAGATGCTGGGAAAATGGAAGAAATAAAAGTACAGTCCCAAAAAAAAAAAATACAGTCCTTGTCTAGGAGTAAACTTGCTGGCTATGTGAGGTAAACTTATAAGCTAAAAGTTATTATTGTAATAGGAATGTAACTTATTACTTCTAAGAATGAAAGTAGTTTACTTAAAAATATTCAAGTGATTCTACTTTTGTTCTTATTGGAATTATACCTTAGAAACATCTCCCATGGAAATTTAACTGGTCATTTAACTTAGTTAATATGGCTAAAATCATGACTTAAGGAAATGAAGTGGGCAGGTCTTCTGCTACAAGCCTGGGTTTATTGCTAGGCTTTACCTTACTATAAATGTGCCTGAGGATTTCAGAAGTCTGAAGTTGTAACCCCATCAACAGCCAGGACCCAGAGACTATAAAACCAAGCTTATTCTCTAATTCTCACTCTCAGAGAACCCTGCGGGCAGGACACTGAGAGTATCCTGCCCGCATATATGCCTGACTGGGAACACCTGTAAAGGTGATTAGAGGCTGCCCCAAAAGCCTCCATCCCTCTCGGAGACCCTGGCAAGCTACTGAGAGTATCCCTCCCACATGGCAGAGCCTGGCAAGCTACCCGTGACGTACCCAATATGCCAAAAACAGTAACAATGATGGTCCTCATTTCCCTGACCCTGAAAGAGCCCCCAATATGCCACCGGGCTACACTAGCACGTGACAGGGACGAATGGAGACGTTTCTGGTGCCCGCTCAAACAAACTGATGAACAATGGGGAAATTGTGATAGTGAATCTTGGTCAACTGTAAGGGTAAGTGAATCTACATAGCAACATTTGTGGAAATTGTCTTTTAATACTTTTCTACCAGTATACAACTTTTTTAAGTAGTTATAAAACCGCACATTTCCAAGATACTGTCCATCTTTGTCAAGCTCAGTCATGGCTTCTGCTGGATCTTTCCTGGGTCTCAGTAACACTACATTTTTGGTGTTTTCAAATCACTTTTAAATTTCTATTATCTAATTACTTTCAGTTCATAAGTTCTACCTGATGGTCTCAAAAATTTCTTTCAATTACCATCTGTTGTGCAGTTCAGCTCACTGATCTCCACATCCATGATCAACCTTGTGGCATCACATTTGGAAGTAGTAAAATACCTCAAATATAAGAAACCAAACCAAACCGATAAATTTTGTTGAAGAATGAGGCTTGACTTCCATGGTTGCCAATTTTTGCCTTCATCTCTAAAATTCCTTCCCTGTTTATTTCTGTATTGCATGAATTATGCTTTGAATTACCCGTGATTTTTTATCCTTCTTCGAGCTTTCACTGTATGGTTCTAATTTTAGGTTTCTGTTTTTTCCTTTTCTCATCCAGCTGTTACATTTCAGTTTCTTAAGAGATTTGGCATTTCTTATTCCATTAATCCCTTACTTCTCCCTGTGGAAATGTGGTAATCTTTAGTATTTGTCAAATGGATAAAAACACAACAAAATACATAAAGGAAATTGACAAAAGCCTTCCGGTAAGTTATCTTTTATTGATAAGAATCTTATCTGGGAGCTTTGGGTGTGTATTATCAGCCCTGCATTATCATGTTATCTCTTCTCATAAATTAACCCACAAACAAACCAGTTTCTTCTATTAAGTTTTCCAGTAGGCCTTCTCTGGGCCAGGTTGAAAGACTCTAACTCTAACCATACCCCATCTTCTCCAGTTTGGTGTTTGTTCTTTAACAGTGCTAGCAATTCTAAAACAGTGGCGAAAAAGATTTGCTATATATGTATCATGTGGATCATATACATAACCTTTAAGTATCTGCATTGCCAACCATAATGCCCAAAAGTTAAGATATAGGAGTACAGAAGAGAGAGGGGAAGGGAGGAGAGGAGGGGAGGGGAGGGGAGGGAAGAGGAGGAGAAGAGAGGAGGGGAGAGGAAGGGAGGGGAGGGGAGGGGAGGGGAGGGGAGGGGAGGAGAGGAGAGGGGAGGAGAGGGGAGGAGAGGAGGGGAAGGAGGTGCTTGTCCTGGTGGCTAGGGAGGAGAACTGGGAACACTGGTGGTGGGAAACTACTCTAATGAAGGGAAGGGTGCTGGAAGATTGTATGACTGAAACCCAATCAAGAACTATGTATCTCATTGTGATTCAATTTTCAAAATATAAACTACTGTCTAGTTCTCTCTCTTGGAGAACCCGACAGGCCACCCAGTGTATCTTGCCCCAACGGCAGAGTCTGGCAAGCTCCCCGTGGCATACTCAATATGCCAAAAACCAGTAACAATGCTGGGTCTCATGTCCCTTGACCCTGAAGTGCCACATCCAACGTGGCACTTGCTAAAAATCCCAGGGCTAGGAACGAACGGAACCGTTACTGGTGCCTGCTCGAGGAAACCGATGAACAACAGAATGACAGTGATACAGTAACATTATTTTTAATGTTATTATTTTATTATTATTATTAATGTTATTAATCATTTTTAATGTTTTGGAGTGATAGCACAGCAGGTAGGGTGTTTGCCTTGCACGCAGCCCGAACTGGGTTCAATTCCCAGCATCCCATATGGTCCCCTGAGAACGGCCAGGAGTAATTCCTGAGTGCATGAACCAGGAATAACTCCTGTGCATCGCTGGGTGCGACCCAAAAAGAAAAAAAAAAAAAAAAAAAAAAAAGGTCTGCTACCCCCCCACCCCCACCTTTCCAAGGTAAGATGTACCTTCACTAACTAGCAGAATAGAACTGAACAAACGTCTGGAAAGCACACAGGCCTTGGGGGGGAGGCTCCACGCAGGAACGTTGGAAAAGCTGCCTCGGATCCAATTATTAAAAAAATAATTGAAAGTTAAGAAAAAGATGAATGTCCTTTCTTAATAATAATAAAAAATAAAATAATAAAAAATAAAATTTTATAATAAAATAATAAAAAATAAAATAAAATCTTAATAATAATTCAAAGGAAAGAAAAAGGAGCGCAAAGGGAAACTTCCTTGACTTTCTCCCGGCCAACAGCGCTATCAACCTCCCCCAGCCGCCCCCCTGCCCCCTCCCGCCCCCCACAAGGCGCTAAGGTCCCCCTCGAGGCCGCCCTGCACAGCCCAGGCCCGGGCGCAGGAGCACGCCCACTGACGGGCGTCTTCCGGCCCGCGAGGCGGAAGTGAGGCGCCGGCGCCGACGTCACCGGGCCGGGCCGGCTCCGCCCTTCCCAACATGGCGCTGCGCTCAATGCGGAAGGCGCGAGCGTGCTGGCGCCGCATCCGGGCATTTCACGCGGGCCCCGCCGCGGCTCGCGCTCCGCGGGACCCCGAGGCTGGCCCTTCTGGGCCCGGCCTCCCACCCCGCCAGGTACTTCTCGTCCCCTTCGCCTGCCCCCCGCGGGCTTCCCGCGGCTCTCTTCCTCCCGGCGCCCGCCCGGCCTCGGACTGCCCTTCCGGACCGGGCGCGTCGTGACGCCTCGCGCCGGCGGTGGGCGGGGCTACGTCGCCGCCTCCTCCTGCCCGGAGCGTTGCCACGGCAACTGTTGCTGGGCAACGGGGGAAGCCACGCCGGGCGGGGTTCTCCGGGATGCTAGAGGATGTTCTGCTTTCCCGGGCGGCTTGGCTCTCTCGTGGCGGTTGCTGTTGGGGCCCCTTTTGTCCAACTGCAAGCCCAGGGGGCAGGAGGAGGAGTCGGAAGAGACGCCTGGTTAGCGCTTGACTGGTGTTGAGTCGGTGCAGACCCTTCCTCTGCCCGCGTGGCCCTTGAGCAAGTGTCTTTGCACCTTCTCCCCGGTTCCTTCTTAGAGCTGCAGAGTAACTGTAAGCAGCAGGCGTTGTCACGGAATCGTGGGAAGCTTCCAAACTCCATCGTCGTCCTGTTCTGTTCCTGCCAGCACCGCTGCTACCATACTCCTGTAGTGCTGGTAGCATGGTACCTACCACCTTCAATCCATTCGATTTAAGAATTTTACCCTCATGACAAAAAAAATGTGTGTGTGTGTGTACTCACACATCTGTATACACATATATATGATATTTTGCAGAATTTATGTAGTTTTCAAAATATTTACTAAACATCTTCCAAGTGCAATTTCAGGTTTAGGCTCTTTGCTGACGAATTTTAGGAAATATTTATTTTGGAAACTAGATAGAAATTTGAGACTCTGGCTATTAAGTGGTTTCTTGGAGGTTTTGCATAGTCATTTTTATAATGTATAAGTGTGCAAATTTTGTTATCTTAACTGAGGTACTGGAAAGAACACTAGACTGTAAGTGAACCAGAGGCCTGAGTATTTGTCACTTGCTAGCTGTGTGATATACCAGTTACTTGTGGACTTATTTTCTTTGGCAAGATAGAGGGAAGAGTGGACTGATTTGCACATTAATGTTCCTGCAAGCTTTGAAAAGTAAAGGAAGCCAAAGAGATTAGTTATGAATCCAAGATTTTAAGTTCCACGTATTTTTCCAATTGTCTCTTAAATTACTTCTGTTTCTCTAGGTATACTTCATTGGTTTGGGCCTGACATGATTCTTGTATGGTTAAAGGGCATTTTATATTAGAAAGCTCTGTCAACAAAACATCTGTTCGAATATTATTTTAAACTTCAGATGATAGTGTTAGATAAGAATGGATTCAAAATTAGATCAGTTATTATAAATTCTATTTTAAAATTAGGCAAATCCATCAAACACTCCTCTCATTTGACATTTGAGGATTTTATTCTTTGGAACCAGAGTTGATCTATTACTACACTTAGAGTTAACAATAGCATATTAAAATGTATGTTACCCAGGTAACAAAGCCTTTGGCCCAAACTTTCTCTCATTTCAAAATAAGAATTGTGGGGCTGGAGTCATAGCACAGCGGATAGGGCGTTTGCCTTGCATGCCGCCAACCCAGGTTCGATTCCAAGCATCCCATATGGTTCCCAGAGCACAGCCAGGAGTAATTCCTGAGTGCATGAGCCAGGCGTAACCCCTGTGCATCGCTGGGTGTGACCCAAAAAGCAAAAATAAAAAATAAAATAAGAATTGTGATTGTCATGAGAGTTAAAGAATCAAAGAGAGAACAAACCCCACAAAATTAGAGCCCATGAAATCACTGTCAGTGAAAGAAAAAATATTAAGCCTCTTATTGTTCAGTGGCATTTATGAACATTATTATTTTAATCAGATATTAGTCTTTATCATTGCAGGATGCAACATTTCCAGAGCAGATTAGTGTTTCCAAGTCTTCAGTTTCACTTTAATTAGAGTAAGAATAAAAAGTGAGAGCGTTTTTAAAAAAATGTATAAATATACATATAGTTTTTAGTAATATGTAGAACTATGCAGAGCCATAAGAACTAAGAACTAATGTGGTTTTTTTTAAACTAACAGAAAATTTGCAAAATTGTATTCGTGATGTAATTGAAATACATTTGTAAATAAATGTATAATTTATGCAGAGAAAAAAAGACCGACAGGCAGGAAGTAACTGTAAAAAACAGCATACTCTGAAGGGTTTGTGTTCCGGGGCTCTCCGGGCAGCTCTATCTCACCACCTGCATTTGGTGCTCTCGAGCCGCTGTGTGTGGACTGGATCCGGATGGCTGTTGGCCAAGGGCAGGCGAAGGAAGGAACGAGGGCCAAGCCGGTCAATTGATCAGATGCCGTTTATTCCATTCTCATCCCCGTTCATTCCTGTTTCTCTCTCTCTCCTTCTCTCCCGGGCCCCAATCAGGAACCTCTGTTTCCTGGCTCTGACTCTGGATATTGATCCCCCAGCCCACTCTTACAGTCTAGTTAAATCCCCCTTGAGGGGCTGGGCTTACACATAGGTGTGTTCTCAATCAATAGGGTTAAAGTTCTTCTCCTCATGGGATGCTGCTTCTTGGACAGATTCTCTTTCAGCAGGATGACCCACCCAAGGACAGAATCCCATGGGTGTGTTTCTCCTCTCCTTATCCAACAAACATATAAGCATTCACAATATTAATCATTTTGTATGGACACAGTAAGAGATGCATTAAGCTAATAGAATTGCTCTCCTGGGGTCATCCCGATCTCAGACTATAGTGCTCAGTCCAGATTAGTCTTTCCTATTCCTGTCAAGGTCCTAGTCTCCTCCTTACTCTTGGATCATGACAGCATTTGTCCATGATCAAGCTCTGTGGCACTTTGGCCAGGCCCATCTCGATGCCATGGTAGCACATAGTTTACCCCTTGCTTTGGTTCCATCCAGTCCCTTGTTGGGACCCTGCTTTGGGGGGCGTTAGGAAGTGAGGGCAATTGAGGCTTAAGTTGAGGAGGCAAATGCCGAGGAATAAATAATATTCCAATTAAATCTTATGTTACAAAAGCGTAATATTAATTGTCTTCTTGTGTCTATACAAAAGGTCGTTGCTTTAAAGTAAACTATTCAAAAGACATAAGGAGAGGAGAAAGGCAATATTATCTTACAGTATAAGTTCAGTTTCCTAGAGAGATCTGACCTTACAAATGAACAGAAACTGGTTAGGGGAATAAGCTGATTGATTAACTGTTTGTGGAAGAGAGAAGTGGTTGCAGATAAACAAAAGAACAGGAGTCACTCGAGAGCACTTTGATGGGTCTGACCTGATACACCTAAGCTCCTTGTGGCAAGGGAGAAACGACAAAGCAGTGTTATCCTACATTAACCATTGAACATTTTTTGTTTTGCTTTTTATTTTATTTTATTTTATTTTTGCTTTTTGGGTCACACCTGGCAAAGCACAGGGGTTACTCCTGGCTCATGCACTCAGGAATTACCCCTGATGGTGCCCAGGGAACCATATGGGATGCTGGGAATCGAACCCGGGTTGGCCGCGTGTAAGGCAAACGCCCTACCCACTGTGCTATCACTCTAGCCCCTTGTTTTGCTTTTAAAGAGCAAAACAAAAAAATGTTAAATTTGGTCTTTCTAAATAATGGATTGGAAATAATTTTTCTTCTTTAAGCTTTCTGGTTTGTTTGTTTTTTTCCCATGTTTTAAATGGAAGATATAGCACTTTTAGTCTGAGGAAAGTTTTTAAAGCATTGATTTCCTTATAAATACATAGTTGTTAGTATCATCTGTGATTCTTTAAGTTTCTAAAAGAGATACTTTCCCACAGTGCTGTTATTAAAATGGCCCAAGAAAAGGACTACTAAAAATTTATGGCCACTTTTCCTGCATGTATCTCCTTTTTCGCTTGAAAAGCTTGCTTTGAAGTCAAAGAGATTTTTGTGAACAGATGCAGAAATTTGTGAAGGAAGAATTGGATTCTCAAACCAGATGCATTCGACATTTTTATGATATCTCATAACCTTTGTAGAAAACAAAAAATATTTTTCGAGGGTCTAGAATAATAAAAAGAAATAAATATGTATCACGTGGGTGATTCTATCAAAAGAAAAGAAATAGCCAAGTTTCTTGTGATTAGTTTTGACCTGCAGTCACTCCTTATGGTGAGCAGCAAAAATGAATAAACCAAAACAGTGCTTTGTTGGAAACTGATTGTTAGACTGTTATGTTTCATAGGTTGTTTTAATATTTTCTTTATATAGCAAAATCTTGAGTAATAAGCTCGGCATGTTCCCTTGGTTATCTTAAAGACTGGCTTTCACTCAGCAAAGTTAGTTGTAGACTCAGGTTCAAACTGAAAAATCAGGAGAAAAGGGGAATATCAAGCATATCTCATTATCGGATGGCCGCAGTTTGTATGAAAGCTGTTTATTTTGCCAGGTGTTGCCTGTCAGAAAACTGTTGGAGTCTGATGCAGTGAGAGTAGTCACAGAGTCAGAGGAATAAATATCTAACATGTTGTGTTTAAAACTGGTGGCAGTACGTAAATTTAAACCTATCATCATTGCGTTGACTGTGTGTCCAGAATCTATACTTCTTTAATCACTCTCTTCTTCTGATGTTGGGCAAAGATTGATGTATTCGTGAACTTCTGTGAGAATTTTCTACTCATTCAAGGAGCAGTATAAAATGTTCATATTTTATCACAGTTGAGCAACACATTTAATTACTACTGTCAGTAATCTCGATTTGCCTGGAAGCAAACCTAGGACCTCACTCATGCAGGGTAAGTGCCTACTGGTATCTCCATCCCTAATCTTTAACACTTAATTTTAAATATAAGGAAATAAACTTTAATTATATCACTTACCTAATGTCACAAATCTAACTGTGGAATTATGGTGGTGAAATTTTCTATCGGCATTCATTCCATATTTTCCAAGTAACATTTGTGAGTGTTAGTTTTTAGGATTCAAATGCTGTCAAATTGGGGTAGTGTTTGTCCCTGAGTTCCTTTTATCTCAGTTTTGGCTTTCTAAATTAAAAAAATATTCATTAAAGAACTGTGATTTACAAAGTTA